ATTGCAAAACATTTACGATTTTATGACAAGATATGCTTTTGATTTCAATAAGCATTGCAGAGGGAGAGCCTAGCAGTTTCGCAATGGGCTTCATGTAGAAAGCTTTCGGATCGAACATCCGGATGAAATGAAGGCCGTGCAATGAAAGTAGAATGGCTCATTGCCCTAATCTTCAGCTTTACAAAGCCTATTCCCACGACAAGCCCCTCCTCCACCCAATGCTTCTTTTTTTCAACAAGACTCAAGCTGCTACTAATGATCCTTCTCTCTTGAAAAGCGAAAACAGGGTAAGCGTCCCATTATGTCTGTATACTTTGCCGAAAACGTTGGCTGCTCATTCTAGAATTCGAATAGGACAGAGACAGTTTCAGCCGCCACCCGAACGAAGATCAGTTCGATCAACCTCCACTGCCACCAGCAACACCCTACGACTGTCGATCACTTTCCAGTTTCGACATGCGAACCTAATCGTCCCTCCACCAAGTTGCTTGCTCTTTTTCCTGGCTTCATGCAACCCAGTAAACTTCTTGTTCGCGATGTACTTTACGCTTCAAGGTTGACCATGACTATTCGATTTTCACAGTACAGTCACGGTCACTGTGAAAAAGCGAATTTGGAAGGAATGCCAACGGCTCGGTCTCTTGGCTTGCAGGCCTCTGACCAAAGCTAAGAGCATGTCCCATGACTGGCGAGCTCGGGTCGGGTAAAAACGCAACATATGTGAGTTATGGAAATTCGACTACAACTAGATCTTTGCGGTGAGGCTGATTCAAAACGATTAGGTGTACACCATAGGTTAAATAAATAGAGACATGTCTCTGGTCACCTTCACTAATGAGCGAAGAAAGAGTAGGACCCTCACCCAAGAGAGTTTGAGTAAGTCAAGGTCCGGGGCAGAGCAAACCAGGAGTTTTAAGATATTTTCACTTTTGTTAACGAAATAAGATCAAGATATATGAACTATGGGACTTAGGGACAATGCTGAGGAGTTTTTCCCATAAAAATGAAAAGATGTAGTTTGAAGGTGGAAGTTGATGAAAAGGCCACAAAATATGAGGAGTAAGCGCTGAATTCGATATTTCTTTCAAAGCAGTTGATTTGTATAAGAACTTTGGAAGGCTTGCATTTCGGAAGTGATTATTATTTTTACTTAGAATTGAACTATAGAAGCATCATCAAATAGCTTTGAGAAGTGTAAATCAAGAGAATATAGAGAATAATTCTGGAATATATGAAAGTTGCGCAGTTGTCGGCTGCATTCCCCATTCGGAGCAGAATGATATATGGTT